ATCTCCCCAAAACCCCAAAACCCCAAAACCCCTTTTATATTTACTTAAATTGAATCAATTTAACCTAAAATTTTAAATTCTAACTGATAGTCTTATTTTGAGCCTAAAAAGTTAGCCTATTTTGAGAAAACCAGAACTAATTTTACATTGATAATGGGGAAGATTCCGAATACCAACATCCTTGTAGACAAGTTTCGGGTTGGAAGATACAGAAAGCATACTTTTGTATACTTTTTGAGCCATTTCCACTCTGATCATTACTGTGAGCTTTCTGAGCATTGGAACTTTGGAATCATTTACATGACCCATGAGACTAGACAACTTTGTGTGAACAAGTTTCCGAATTTGGCAGATTGCACTGTAGCGCTTGAATTAGATGTACCTTGTATGATATTTTTGGATAAAGACAACACAGAAGCAATTCAAGTAACACTTATTGATGCTAATCACTGTCCTGGATCCTGAATGATGCTTTTCGAAGGAAAGATGGGTACCATTTTACATACAGGTGATTTCAGATTTTCACCAAAATTCTTTGAGAACGAGAAACTTTTCCCACCAATGAATTACAATGAAGAGGAGAAAGGAATTGCATGAGATATTGATCATCTAATTTGTGATGGGACTTTTAGTGAAGATGATAAAATATTTGAATCTCAAGAAGTAGCTTACAATCACATCCTAGGCATAGTAAAGAAGCATCAAGATTACAGAATTTATCTCTTTGCTTATCAACTTGGAAAAGAGGAAATTTTCATATCTTTGGCCAAGCACTTTAAAACAAAAATAGTTTTGACTCCAGAAAGATACAAAACAATTGAACTAATTGGGATGGATACTCAATACTTCACAACAGATGAGACTGAAGGATGGATCTTTGTTAGGCATTTCATTCAGCGTAGAAAAATGGATATAGAAGAGTACAGCATCATGGGTCCAACCATTTTTATAGTTTTAACAGGTAAAGCAGAATTTGTAGGAGCCACTAAAAAGTATATCTATAATGGAAAATATTCCTCACATTGTGACTCAAAAGAGATGGAAAGATTTATTAAAGCTATTTGCCCCAGAACATTGGAATTTCATTCGCATCCTGATACTGATAAATCCAGAAAGTTTAGAGGATATCTTCAGAGGACATATTGCCGAGGCAATCCTTCCAGCTGAAAGCAATTAGAGTCTAAGTTAGTAGATTTACATGCTAAAGTTATTGAGAAAGAATTTGGAGATATCTCAACAGATTTCACAAAGATTGCTAGACCTCCAGCTATGAGGAAAAGAAAAAGACATAGAGCAAGTGGAGCTAAGTTAATCCATAAAAAGCCTATAATGACTCTTACTGATGATGAAGAAGATGAAAATACAGCTGATTCTAATAAGAATATTCCAAAAGTTGAAATTCAAAAAGATGATTCTGAAGAAGATATTGATGATTTGTTTAATTCGGATGAAGACAACCTTTTCAAAAAGCCAACTGAGGATGTTAGTAAGCCAAATAAAAGGCAAAAACTTTGCTAAAAATCATAATTAGCGCTCTACAATTCTTAACTTTACCGTATCTGAGATATTATATAAATATTAATTCAATTTCTGTTGAAACTAATGGGGTTTTGGGGTTTTGGGGTTTTGGGGTTTTGGGG